ACCACCTCCACTCCAGATATTTCAGCTCTACCTGGATTGCATTTAAAATCATTTTGGGGTGAATTGTGTGCAGGTTGTAATCAGTAAGCAGCGGCATGTCCTATGTTTGTGTGGCAAATGAAATAAGGCTGTTAACTCACCTGGTTTGTGGCTCCAGTGGCAGTTTGTTTTTGCTGTTAGTCACTGTAATTGTTAAATCAGGTGTCAGATTTTAGCTGATCTCACACCAGTTTAAATAAAAAAAGAAATGCACACTGAGATCTGGAACAAAATGGCCACAAAATATCTTGCCTTCAAAAAGCCACGCTTGATTTTATTTCATGGTCTTGACATCAACTGTCAAACTTTTTTTGTGACAGCTGAAAAACAGGAAAACGGAGCTTATGTGTAGTTCACTAGCTGATTATTTTATCTTCATATAATAAAACATGAGCAACAATTTCCTTCCTGTCTCCGGTGGCTGTCTGAAAAAGTTGAATTTGTGTGTCAAATTCACATTTTGTTAAGTAACATGTTTGATGGTTTCAGATTTTAGTCTCGGATGTCTGATCAGACTGTCTTTAAGTCAATGGTACCGCTGTGTAGATGTTTCCCTACTTTATAGGACAGATGCAACTTTCAGTCAGTGATGTGATCAAGCCATGATTAAATTATTCTTATTTCTTTTTAAGAGAATTACAGTCATAATTTTTCTCTTTACTCTCATAGTTTTTTGTCCTGTCAGATAATTCAAGGTCATGTAGAAGTTTTTTGTGTTCCAGGTCTCTAAATTTTGAGAAGGATCAAACACATCAGCAGCCAGATTCATTTATTCACCATATTTGACGTAGAAATAGTCATATGTTAGTGGATACTGTATTCGGACATCCTCCAGTCATAACAGAGTCATGAAAGTTCTTCTGCTGAGAAAACGTTCTGATAAATGTCTGAATGAAAATCACTTCCTGTCATGTTTCATAGTTTGCTCCACAAACACAACATCTTTTCAGCAGCAGATGGGATGATGTTTACTTTTCTTTGCAGCATCAAAGACTGTAAATGGCAGGAGAAGAACATTATTGTGATGGACGACGTCGTAATCTCACCGCCTTACCAGGTTGAGAACTGCAAAGGCAAAGAGGGAAGCGCTTTAAGTCATGTACGCAAAATAGTAAGTATGCTTTTTATCTGTACAATATTTCACTACAGATACTCGACTTCAGGGCTGCAGCGAACAATGTTCATGCACACCGTCCAGGGTCTGAAATTAACACCCGCTGAGCACCAAATGCAGGTAGATTTTCCCACGATGGCGGGTTAATGTTTGTACCAAAATAGTTATGTAATAAATAACTAACTATGCTGAGAGTCCCAACTGCATTTTGGTGTCATTTACGGACATACTGCTATCTGTGTTGCAGTTTGAGAGACACACACACACACACACACACACTACCCAGATGTGTTTTTACATGGGGCTTAACAGCATGGCTAAACTGACCACCGTTGTGCTCCTAGTTTCGCAGCACAGTTTACCCCTCAGGACATCAGCTACGCCACTAAACTATCACTTGCCAACAGTCTGCTGCTCGATACCGCTGTTTGGGTTGGTTAAAAATCTTGGCCAGTTTTTTTCATCTACTAGTCCTCTTGGCTGGTGAGAGAAAAAGTTAATTTCGGACACTGGTACAGTCGTGTGCATGTGTGTACCTGTCTGCAGATACACTGCACCCCTGTTCCCCACACACATGACTCCAGACACACTAGGTGGGAATCTGTTGAGTGCACCTTTCAAGTTTTCATTAACACCACTCTCTTAGAGTATTCTGTCCACACAAGCACCTTCACACTCCTGAAAGTTTTTCTCCTATTTAACTGTCAGCTGGTAGAGCTTCAATATCGTACCTGCTGCCATCTGCACTCCATTTAAATGAATATATCATTTTTCAACATGTTTTATACATGAAAAGCCCCAACAGTAGTTGTAAATGAAACGAGAGCTAGAGAGAGAAGTGAAAGCTTTGGCTTATTCTCGGTTTTGCCAAGTTACTGAAAATGACGGACTCAGCACACACACATAAGTTTCAACTTTGGAAAGTTGTAGGGGGACAGACACTCTGATTGAAGCATATGGACACCTTAAGGCCCAGACACACCAAACCAACGTCAGAGAAGTAGCATTGACGAAAGCCCTCTGCTGCGACGCCTCTCGACGTCGTGTTTTGGCCAAAAAGTTGCACATGAACGCACCAAACTGACGGCAAACAAGTGTGTATGTTCTGCACCTGCATGAGAGGACATACCCCCCCACACCAGCAGATGGCGGTCATCTGTGATTGCAATTTAATAAGGAAAACTGGAAGACCGCCTTGACACCAGTTAGCATATTAACGACACAATCCAGTGTTGAACGAACAGAGCAATATTTTTCATGCCCCACTGAGCAATAACACAAATCATCAGAGTATCCCTGATCTAGATAAAGTAAATCGTCCACAGTGCACTGAGCTAAGTCTGCCTGGTAGCCTTGTGTGTCCCTGAGGCCTGAGTATTTTTTAATTCTTTGCAATGGGAACGCTGCATTTTTACACAAGGCTACAAATGCCAGCGTCAGGATTAGGAGCTGAGTGTCTATTTTGCACTGAGCGCTGCATGTTTGGCCCTTTTCTTCTGGTCACCGAGAACTTAAAACCATTTACTGTCACTTTTTATTCAGCCATTCAATCGTGGTGGAGATGAGGCAGGACAAATACCACAAAGACTGATTGTCACATCTTGCAGACATGCTCTGTCTCTTCATGCTTCAGCCCTCGGTTCATCCAGAGCAAGTACTTTACCTTGTACCGTCATTTTTACTTCCTCCGTCATCTCATATCGTAGCAAGAAGACGCAACCCAAAAAAAACGCTTTCAGACGTTCCCAGCTGGATGTTTTCAGAAGAGCGTCTGGTGTTTTCAGCCGGGGAAAAACCCTTAGGAGGAAACATTTTCCGACCAGCGGGTATTTGGTCGGACTAGAACATATCGACCAACCGACCAGAAAATGTCTAAAGTTTTTAGGACATGTATTTGTGATTATTTTGAGACAACAAGGTTCATAAAATTCAATAGTCTGCTTTACTGTGTTGCTCAATGAACGGCACGAGACGTGTTTCAGAATTGGTGTCTGATGTTTAAATGTCGTTTTATTCTTCTTCCAGGTTGAGAAACATTTTAGAGACGTGGAAAGTCAGAAGTCCATGCAACGTTCACAAGCACAGCAAACACAGAAGGACTCCACTTTATCTTCTTGAGTTGGCAGTGTGGGTCGGCCGGGGAAGGCGACGCGGGTGGTTTTGTTCCCACTGCCAGACTAAGTCGGCATTCCTTGTCCTCAGTCTGAGACCACAAGGAGGAGCGCTGAGGGCCCTGGATCCAGAAGATCAAAATACCATTAAATGAAAAAGACAAAAAAGAGAGGAAAGATTAAATCTTAAATTAGACTTTATAAAGAATAATTTAAACATGAACCATAAAGCAACCATAGTTTCCTTAACTAACTTGTCTCATTCTGCCCCTACTCCTCCCCCTCCTCCTCCCCTCCTGTCCCTGAAGCCTTTTCTTTTTCCGCCCTCCTTCCTTTGCCTTCAGTTCCATTTCAAAAAGAGAAAACTAGAGCAGTCAGAAAGGCTTGTTAGCTTTATTTTCTGTCATTGTTTCCTTTTTTGCTGTATCCATGTTCTACTGTCTGTATTTTCTGTATTTTAAACAAAATGTGACTTGAAACGCCACACTTTAAAGGACATTTTCTAAAATAAAAGTAACAAAAATTCTGACTGTAATACTGTAATTTTCAACAACTTTTTGACGGACTCACGAAGAACAAAATTTTATTAACACATTCTGAAACATTCCTCAACTGTGGGGGCTTTATTGAAGGGTAAAACACTGAGCTTGTGTTGCTGGAATATTTGTGCTTTGCTTGTAAATTCGCCGTTGTCCTCGGGGTGACCATCAGGTTTCTTTTCATGGATTGTCTCGTAGCCTGATTTGTGATGCAACCATGTAACTACAGGGAACTGAAGCCATCACCGTTTCTAATTAATTATTTAAATTTCACAGGCCTCTGGTTTCTCTAAGCTGCTTAATGACATTTACAGCCGTCCTCTCTGTGACAAAGAGCACTTGACAGGAAATCAGCGGCATGAATTCTTTATTGAAATATATAATTTACAGAGTTAACTGAATAGTGCTGATGCAGCTGCACTGGTGTGGAAAATAGAGCAGTTATTTGTGTGCTTTTAGGCTGAATTACAGCTAAATTTCAGGAACTTTGGTGTGGTTTGATTGTAGTTGAATGTTCGCTTATCATCTCTAACATCGTCAGACTGTTTTAAAACACCAGTTTGTTCTGGAAAATGTCAAAAAATGATGTCGAATTTCCCATAGTTCAAGTTGACCAAATCAGACGTCTTGTTTTGTTTGATAAATTGTAAAAAACCCTTGAATATTTTTATGAGAGGACAAAATACATGCAAATATTCACATCTGAAAAGCTGTTTCCAGATATTGTTGCTTACAAAATGGCGGTTAAATCAATAAGTAAAATTATACAGGCTCATTATTTTGCCTGTGTGAACCCCATTCTGCTGATTTCCTCACCAACTCAAACATGTAGTCATGAGAACTCCATATAACCTCACTGTATGTGGTGCGATGCAGAAATACTGAGACAAATCAAATGCTATCATTAAAAAAAACAGCTCCCTGTATCCAAACAGAGTAACAGATGTAAATCCTGATTTTAGGAAAGGATCCAAAACAGACCAGGTTTGCTCCCCAGATAAGGTTGTTTTATGATGATCTGTTTAAGCCCATAATCCCTCTCTAATCAGGAATATTCAATGTCTGCTCAGAGAATTCACCAACATGACATCAGTGTCAGGTTGTTTGTAGGAAGAATGTAACCATGCCTTTCAGCAGGAGCATCTGACTCTGATGTGAACAAAGATGTCCGTCAGTGGCTGCGCGATGCTCGGTGCGATGCCTCTGCTGCCTCTTCTTTTTCTGAACACAGCCCTGGGCTTTAAGCTGTGTCCCAGCCACTGCCTGTGCTACGAGTCCTCTGAGCTGGTGGACTGCCGGTCTCGTGATCTGGTCCGGGTCCCGGTCAGTGTCCCACACGGCACCTGGCTGCTGGACCTGAGTGGGAACAAGCTGACTGAGGTGCACTCCAGATCCTTTGTGGGGCTGTGGTCACTGAAAATCCTCCTGATGTCCAACAACAGCATCCAGACTCTGCAGCCACAGGTACCACAAATATGAGCTGTGCATTCAATGTTACTGTGCATATTCTGCATTTAAGACTTTGTTTTAGACCAGAGGTGGGAACAGTACTCAGATCAGTAGAATAAATAATAATACTACAAGGAAAAACTTAGCATTCTCAAGTGTACTTAAGTAAAAGCATACAAGTATTATGAGCTTAAAATATAAAAAGTAATATGTCATGCAGGAAAATATGGCCTAACTATTACATTGCTTTATATGTTGTGATTTAATCATTATTATTGGTGCATTTATGTCTTTGCAGTATTTTAAAGTAATTTATACTCATAATACTCTATAAACTATGGAAGCCCAGAGAGGCACACAGGAGACATTGTCTCCTACAGAGGAGAAAAACTTTCCGAAGAACAGATCAGACTCTGTTTCTGTTTCTTGCTGACTCGCTTGCTGAGCAGATTGTGTATGTGCATGTGTGGGAACTTAGATGTCACCAGTGGGGGGGGGGGGTTCTTGTGTGTATGGAAAATAATCCTGCATTTGAAAATAATCCGGCATTTTGTGTTTAGTTAACAAAGAAGATAAAGCCTTTTGTTTTTGGCTGAACAGTCAGTGCTCCTTATATGGTGTGCAAATTCTGTACATTTTCTTGAGATAATAATATAATAATAATAATCTTTATTCATAAAACGTTTTTCAAAACAGTTACAAAGTGCTTTACATGTCAATAATTAAAACAAAAAAATGAAAATAACTTTTAAGAACTGATAAAAAACACTTAGGTGTATAAAAACTGAGAAAATAAATGAATTAAAATGAACTTAGAACTCAGTAAAATCAGGAAAGGCTCTCAGATAAAAGTATATTTTAAGAAGAGATTGTTCTACAGCCTCGGGGCCCTGACAGCAAACGCTCTGTCCCCTTTGGTTTTCAGCCAGACCTCTTTAAAAATCAAAAGGCCTCAAAGTACGTCCTGGTGTGTATGGCTCTAAGACGACAGAGATTTAGTTGGGAGGGAGGCCATGCATGAAGAGCCTTTAAAGTAATCAGTAAAATCTTAAAATCTATTCTGAAACATACTGGGAGCCGGTGTAAAGGGGCTAAAACTGGAGTGATGTGATCACGTCTCTGGCAGCTGAATTCTGAACAGCCTGGAGTCGATTAATAGATTTTTGGGTAACATTTTACTTAAAGGTATCTACATAAGAGGGACATGACACTGTCATAACTATGAACCTGTCATGAACATTATGTACATGTGATAAACGTTTATGACTGCTGTCATTAAGTGTCATTCGGTTTTTGTGATGACAAGTTGACATTGTTTGGGTTGTCTTGATTATGACAACTTGACATTAACATAAAGACATCTTCTGGTAATATCATCCTGTAATATACTGCTAGTTTCATCTATAAAAATGCACAATGTTTTATATTCCAGTTGTAATTGAGTTGATCTTTGTATGTGAACTCTCAATATATATGTAACTATTACAACTAAAGCTGTCAACTGCAACTAATGAATATTTTCATTTTTGACTAATTCAATAATACATTTTTCGGTTAAACATTTTGGCTATAAAATGTCAGAAAATAGTAAAACAAAACAAAAAAAGTCTGCATGTTGTCAGAGCCCAAAGTGACATCTGCATGTAATAATAATAATAATATTAATAATAATAATAATACAAATAATAAACTTTATTTACACAGCACCTTTCAAAACACAGTTACAAAGTGCTTTACAAAACCAAATAAAAGACAAAGCCAATAAAACAAGATAAAAGCAATAAAAACAGAATACACATAACAGAGTAAAACACACATTAATAAAGAAGTTAAAATCACCGAAAGGCAGTTTCAAACAAGTAGGTTTTCAGAAGTGATTTATAAAATGAGACTGAATTTGCAGCCCTGATCTCCTCAGGTAGCTCATCCCAAAGTTGAGGAGCTCTGACTGTAAAGGCTCTGTCACCTTTGTGAATTAATCTGGACCTCAGAACAACAAGAAAAGATGCATCTGAGGATCTCAGAGTGCGAGAGGGAACACAGGGCAATAAAAAGCAGCAGGAAACCAGTGCAGGGAGGCCAGGATTGATGTGATGTGGTCATTTTGCTCATTTTGCCTGATCAAGAGTCCAAAGCCACAAATCATCAAAATTAAAAAACTAAGAAGCTTAAACAAGGAAATGATAAATGTCAGTTTGGCTCCATGAATGACATGACACTTAAATTTAATGCCTTATATGACCTTTCAAGATGATTTTAAAACCAATTTAAGGCTGATTTTTGAACAGATCATCTTTTCCTTCATCAAAGATAGCAAGTAAGTCTAAAGGTTAAGTCGCAGTGAGTCGACGGGTCAGTACAAGTAGGAAGTAAAAAGACAGGACTTTCACTCAGAAGAGTTTGACTCACTTAAAAAAATGATTTTAAAACATGGATAAATAAGTTAGATCAAATGTTTGTAGCAATTAAGAATTCACAGTTTCAAAAGTAAGACTATTTAATGACATTTAAGAACTAATATTTATAAAATTCGTAGACATTTTAAGACTTGTGGAGTACCAGCAGAGACCCTGGAATGATAAACAGGATTGATTCATTATCGAAATTGTTGCTGATTGTTTTGCTCCACTGACAGATTGATTGTTTCTGCTCTATGGAGTAAAAAGCACAATATTTCCCTCTGAAATTATAAGTATAAAGTAGCGTAGAATAATAATATACAGATACAATAAAGTACAATTACCTCAAAATTAGTAGGCTGCATTTCATAGTCTAAGTAATAAACTTACATTTCACCACAGTTTCTGATCAGCTGGTCACAGTGATGTCTGATTTCTGTCCTGTTCCAGTCTCTGTCCTCGCTGCAGTTTCTGGAGAGGCTGGACTTGAGTTATAACCATCTGCGTTGGCTCCCTCAGCACTTCTCCCAGAGTCTGTCCTCCCTCAAGGAGCTCCAGCTGCACCACAACCTGCTGCTGCACCTGGACTCCACCTCACTGGGTGACTTTGAAAGCCTGAGGAAACTGGACCTCAGCTACAACCGTATCCAGGCGATCGACGTCGGGGCTCTCAGCAGCCTGTCTCGACTGAGCGTCCTCAACCTGGAAGGAAACAGGCTGAACGTGCTCAAAGACGGTTTGTTGAGCCGCCAGCAGAGCCTGGAGGTGCTGCTGCTCAGCCACAACAACATCTCACTGATTGAGACTGAAGCTCTGGCTCCTCTGCGGAGTCTCACTCTGCTGGGTCTCCGTGGAAACCAGCTGGAGCACATCAGGTTCAAGACCTTCCTGCAGCTCCAGACCACCACCACCCACCTTCAGATGGCCCTCAACCGCTGGACCTGTGACTGCGAGCTGCAGCGCGTCTTCGACAAGATCCGTCGTGTTCGCCATCTGCATGTGGACGACTACAAGGACATCATCTGTCGTGCTCCTGCTCAGCAGGTCGGGACCTACCTGGTGACGCTGGACGGCCATCTGTGCATCGCTGAGACTGCATCGGTCCTCATTATCACCATCACCGTGATGGTGGCTGTGATCAGCACCTTGGTCAAAGCAGAGCGCAACCGGAAGAACAAAAAACCTGTAAGTGATCCCGAGTCAGAGAGACAAGAAAAGTGATGTTTGATTAAATGACCAGAGGCCTGTACTAAGAAGCCTGCTCAACTTACCCAGGATATCTTGTTGTTATCTGGTTTGACTAACCCTAACATCAACCATCCGGATATCAGGTACTACAAATGTGGTTATCAACTAGTTCAGTCAACTCTGGGTTTTCCTATCCAGCCACGAGCACGTTGAAAACACTATCCAAAAATTCACCATAGGCCGAGACTTCAATTATTTGGAGGTATCACCAGGCTGTATGTGACAGTAGTATAGAGTATGTTTTGGACATTCTTAGACTTTCGTCCATGGATACTTGTTTCTTCAGTGATGTGACTGGTCAGAGGTCAGGTGTTGACAGGCTGTGATCAGGTTGTTCAGCATCAGTTACCATGGTGATTTATCCTGGTAAAAGATAGAAGAGAACCAGCTTTGTAGTACTGGAAACCCAGAGTTAACCCTGAAGTTACCTCGCTAACTCAAATCCTGCTTGGTAGTACAGGCCTCAGGTTTTCTGGGGCTGAGGTGCAGCCTGGTGTTGGACATTGTTGGCCCATAGGTTGTATATAGTGGCCCTGAAACCACATGTCGGACTTTAGTTTAATGTTTACATCTCCTTTTAAGCTTTCTTTCTTCATAATGTCAAGGTATGGAAACTATTGTAACAGAAAGCAGGGACAAAAGCTCCATGGTATGTGCAGGAATCTTAAAGTTAACTTTAATACCCATAACGACCTTTTTCCATGACCCTTTCGATACATTTTAAAACCTCATTCTCTCTTAGAGCTCCAACCTGCTATATTGACAACACTTTAATTTACATTTATTATACTTTGATTGTAAGATAGCACAACTGAACAGACTTACTTTGTGATAACTCCCAGGTTACTGTATCAGTGCAACATAATTCAGATAGAAGAGAATGAACTGACTGACCGAATGCATAGTTTAGTAGTTGTAGTTATGTGGAGGGTGTTTAATCACGCACAGTCCATTTCAGTAGCATACATTTAAAATAATTAAATTTGCGTCAATCTGTGTCCCCCAAACTAACATCTGTCAGGTTATAAATGACAACTTATAAATTAACTCTATTAAGTTACATGCTGAAGATTATTGTCCATGAATTTGGACGACATGCTATACTATGACTTCTTCATGGTTTTTGAAGACATACTATACTATGACCTTTTCAGATGACATGCTATACTATAATGTTTTTTCATGATTTCGGACGACATGCTATACTATGACTTTTTTTCCGAATTTTGGACGACATACTATACTGTGACTTTTTTTCATGGTTTTGGACGACATGCTATACTGTGACTGTTTGTCATGGTTTTGGATGACATACTATACTATGACTTTTTCATGGTTTTGGACGACATACTATACTATGACTTTTTTCATGGTTTTTGAAGACATGCTATACTATGATGTTTTTTCATGGTTTTGGAAGACATGCTATACTATGACTTTTTTTCATGATTTTGAGCGACACGCTATACTATGATTGTTTGTCATGATTTTGGAAGACATGCTATACTATGACTTTTTTCATGGTTTTGGAAGACATACTATACTATGACTTTTTTCATGGTTTTTGAAGACATGCTATACTATGATGTTTTTTCATGGTTTTTGAAGACATGCTATACTATGACTTTTTCATGGTTTTGGAAGACATGCTATACTATGACTTTTTCATGGTTTTGGAAGACATGCTATACTATGACGTTTTTTCATCATTTTGGACGACATACTATACTGTGACTTTTTTTTCATCATTTTGGACGACATACTATACTATGACTTTTTTTCATGGTTTTGGACGACATACTATGACTTTTTTTCATGATTTTGGATGACATGCTATACTATGACTTTTTTCATGGTTTTGGACGACATGCTATACTATGACTTTTTTCATGGTTTTTGAAGACATGCTATACTATGACTTTTTTCATGGTTTTGGATGACATACTATACTATGACTTTTTTTCATCATTTTGGACGACATACTATACTGTGACTTTTTTTCATGGTTTTGGACGACATGCTATACTATGACTTTTTTTCATGATTTTGGATGACATGCTATACTATGACTGTTAGGATTTTGGAAGACATACTATACTGTGACTTTTTTTCATGATTTTGGAAGACATACTATACTATGACTTTTTTCATGGTTTTGGATGACATACTATACTATGACTTTTTTCATGGTTTTGGGTGACATACTATACTATGACTTTTTCATGGTTTTGGACGACATGCTATACTATGACTTTTTTCATGGTTTTTGAAGACATGCTATACTATGACTTTTTTCATGGTTTT